AGACTAGACTGAAACCAAAGAAAGAGCCAAGCTAAGATAAGGTAATGAATTCATTCTGAAACAGAGAGAGGCTTGGATAATCTTATCAAGGGGAAGAGGTGGGGGTAATTATTTCACCCAGATGGGGATTGAACAGAAAATGGGAAGAAAGGGCCAAATGAGGGCTAGTATGAAACATGGCTGTTGTGTGGGGATTCTTGGCATAAGATGGAAGGAGATAAGAGATAAGGAATATATTTTAGAGGGGTTTGAGGTTATATTGAGAAGGGGTACTAGTGTGTAGTTGGTGCGTGAGCTAAGTCTTATCAAGATTGAACTAGGAATTTGGCCATGGGTTTCATTTGAGGAGTTTCAGAGGTGTGGAAGATGTCTTTACCCATGAGGGGGTACTTGTGAGGGTTATTGGTTTGTTACCTTTGTTTGAGGGCCTGGGGAAACTCTTGAGGGGTCTTGGGTTTGTGATTCTTGTGTGATATGTAGTCTTGCTGTGTCTTGAGGTTCAGGATTGGCTTACCACACCGGTGAGAGTGCAACCTCTCAAAGGCCAAGAGGTCAGCCGGTGAGAGCATAACCTCTCAAAGGCCAAGAGGCGGTACAGGCAGCTGGTGAGAGGGTAACCTCTCAACTGCCGGGAGGAGTCCTCCCTGGCCATTGAGAGGGTAGCCCACCAATGGCCAGGAGGAATCCTCCCAGCCGTTCTTTCTTTCAGTGCCAACCCCAAACACCCATGGGGTTTTGGAGTGTTGACTCCCAAAAACCCCCAGGGGGTTCACAAAAATAAAAATAATAAGTATTATTTTTTAGGGAGTCAACCCCCAAACCAATCAAAGGGTTTGGAGGTCCAACTCCCAAAAAACAGGGGGAAAAAAATTAGGGGGTCTGACTTCTGGAGGACCGTCTTCAGACAGTCCTCAGGAAGTCCCCAAAATTTCTGAATTGGAACTCCAAATTTTGGGAGTTGTTTAACTAAGGCCCTAATCATATCTGCTTGAGATTTGTACCTGGCTCCACAGAGAACTGATCCCCCATCTCTCTGAGCCAGGTAAGCCCTTCCTTTCTCATTTTCCTTTTATCTTTTTCTTCTCATATCTAGAGACTTGTATGTACAGATGGGAGAGAACTGATCCCCCATCTTTCTGAGCCAGTAATCAAACCCCACAGTGTTTGGCCCTGGAGATACCTGGATACCCACCAAGATTCCAAGGAGAATTGGGCATCCACACCCAGATCCAAATTCTCTGGCAGGTATCCGTTGTGCCAGTTGGGTATCTGAAACTGATACCCTGAGGCCATCTCTGATAACTATAGAAGATAGTATCCATATGTATTCCTCTGGCTCTTGTGAGTTGATGGGGGTGAGGACAAGTCAATCAACGACCATAGCCAAAAAATGGGCATATAATGAGAATTGGTGTTTTTAGTGTCTTTTACAAACCCAATACAGCCATTCCTGAGTTTTGTACGTTGTATTTAATTGGCAAAAAGGGAGATTCTCGGTGATTCAACTTTGAAGTAGTGGCGTTGGTCAGGTGCCTGTTTTGCCACAACGGGGTTGTCCCAACTTGTCCGAGTGCTGACGCGGGCTCGGTAGACAAATAATTCTGTAAGTAGCCAAAGAAAGGATCGGCGGTGCTGGCTCCCCTCCTCCATATCGACTAGGTCGTTTGTCTCATCTTCCATTCTTCCTTTCCTTCCATCAGCACACACCAAGTCCAGTCAACATCAGCCATGAAACGGGCAGAGCTCAGTCTTGGTCTAATCCTCAAGCCGCGCTCATTCGTCATCAGCTCTTCAACACATGCCCTCCTACTACGGCCATTCGACAGATCTCCTTCGAAACAGCTCATCGTCGAATTTGTCGAAGTTGATGAGACAACCGAGACTGGAATCAAGCTGGCACCCTGTTGGGGATGCCTGGGGATACTCGAGATCGAACGCGGTGAGTGTTCTATGTATTGGGTTTTTCTTTGTTGAATTATCTCATTTGTACTGACTGACCTTAATGATTTTGAACCATTTGTACAGAAATCTTTATCGTCATCGTTACTCATGCAACACCCATCGGAATACTCCAGCCAAGTCATGAACAAATCCATCGCGTCGTATCCGTTGATTTATTCTGCCTAACCTCGGCGGCCTTTGATTATCAACACATCTTTCATCATCCTACTGGGAACATTAACTCAAGCATTGATTTCGATGAGCATGCTGCACCAGACCATCCAGCCCTGAGTGGGATCAAGAAAATCCTCTCCAACGGCCAATTCTACTTCTCTACCACAGTCACCGATCTTTCGTCCCGTACCGAACATAGAGTCACGGCCGAGAACCGATCGGAAGATGACTCCTATCGAAGATTCTCATGGAACTCCTTCATGCTCGTCGGCCTCAGCGGCTTTCAACACGGGCTACCGATCGAGAGCAGACTGCAATTCGACCGACAAAATTTCCTCGTCTCTGTCATCCAGGGATTCGTCGCCACATATGAATTGAAACTACCCCCGCCCCCTCCAAGTACCGCCAATGATGATCCTCTCAATGATCAGCTCAACGAGCCCATCTCATTCTCCATCTCACTCTTCTCCCGTCTGGGATCTCGACGGGCGGGTACTCGGTTCAATACCCGTGGGATCGATGATGATGGCAATGTGGCCAACTTTGTCGAGAGTGAAACGTTGATCGTCTCCGGTTCAAATCTGTTTTCATTCGTCCAGATCAGAGGCTCTGTGCCACTATTTTTTGAGCAGTCCGGAACGGGGATGACGAATGTGATCGGAGGTCTCAGTGGCCAAGGACATCGGACCCAACTGACGCGGACAGGAATCGCGACTCAGCCTGCATTCGAACGACATTTCGAAGACCTCCTACAACAATATCCTTCGGTACACATCATCAACCTTTTGAGCAACTCACGTGAGGGCGAATGTTCGTTGAGCCAAGCCTATCAACAGCGTCTGAAGGTTTTAGCCAGAGATGAGGTGCAGATGGCCCATTTCGATCTCCATCAGCGAGCCAAAGCTGGCGGGCTCGATGGCGTCCGACAGCAGCTGAAGAACGACCTAATGATCGGAGGACAGATCGAGCAGATGGGATCTTTTTTGGCCAGTATGTCACCTGAGGGTCAAATCGAAGTGGTAACACGTCAAGACGGAGTCTTCAGAGTGAACTGCTTAGATTGGTACGATCATCATCTCTCTGATGAAACAGATCTTGGATTGACCTCCTATGCTTATTAAACATCCTACTCCACATTCTTTGGTTATCGGTTGAATTGATTAGTTTAGATCGGACCAATGGTTTGTCCTTGACTCCCCCGTCTCTCTTCCATATTCCACCCGCCTCCTCCTTTTACGTGAATTTGGACCCCCCAAAAAACACTCCTTGCTAAAATGCGTATCGTCGAAGTGTTCTTTTAGTCATCCAGGAAATGTTATCCCGAATGGCAGTCGAAGCTTTTTTGTCCGCAACTCATCCGCACCTGCTGAGGTCTGACTATTTAGTAAGCGTTACACCTGATCAGTTCAGGACTTCAATATCAGTGCTGACCGTAGTTTTATTCGCGTTGTTTTTCAGTGGAACTGTCATCGCACCTTGTGGGCTGATGTGAGTCAACTGTCTTGGAAACGTCCAGCTCATGGTTCCAAGCTAATCACGTGAACTGCCCGACCAGAATGGGGATGTTCTGTCCAAAATCTATGCGGGGACTGGGGCTTTGAATACTAGTTTTACTAGGGGTGGCAAGCAAACTTTCAGTGGTCAGTTCCTTGTTCTTTCTAGCATTGAGTTGGTTTGCCGGAGTCGTACTTAAGTTCTCCTGACTTTTTTCACTCGGGCTCAAATGGAATAAAGGCATCCTGTCAAACGCATCCAAATCAGTGGGCCGGATGTACAACTCAAATTTTATTGATAAATCTAAACAGGCGCACATTGATCTGATGTTGGTAAGTAATGGCATCTATAATCTTGTGTGACATCCTTTGCCAATGAAGCAATTTTCTTCAATGTAGGGGAATTTGAGTGGTCAGAAGCCAGTCAAAGTGTTTGACCCACTGAATGACACGATCAAGAAGATGCTACACGATCGTCGCTCGGATTATTCACAGACCCTCCCAATATCTCTTTGGGTTGGAACTTACAACTTGAACGGTCGAGCTCCCCCGATGGCTAATAATGATGAGCTCATGGCTTGGCTGTGTCCGACTTCAAGTAATATCAGGTCTCTCTCGTTTCCACACCTATTGCATCCCATGCTAATTATCACCTTGGTGTTCGCAGATTTCGAGCCTGATATCATGGCCGTCTCCTTCCAAGAGATCGTCAAACTGTCCCCTCAGCAAATTATGATCACAGATCCTGAAAAAAAGTAAGACCTCCCCCCATCAGTTAGGATTCCACTGTCTTTGATATTCTGCTTGCCAACCGTAGGTTTTGTCTCCAAAAAAACACATCATCTGATTACAGGAACAGATGGGAGCGGGTAATATTGACATCATTAGAAAACCGCCCTAACAAGAAGTCGAGCTATGCGATCATTCGATCGGATCAACTTGTTGGAGCGGCGTTGATAATCCTAGCAAAAACCGAGCTTGTTCCAGCCGTAAGGTCGGTGGAAGCTAAGACCAAAAAGGTAAGATGAATGTGAAGTCTGAATAATATTTAGTCAAACGATCCAAAAAGATTGATACTGATGACTTAGATAGACTGGATTAAAAGGAATCGCAGGCAATAAAGGGGCCGTCGCTATCCGCTTGGATATCCATGATTCCAGCTTTTGCTTCGTCACCGCTCATTTCGCTGCTGGCTTATCTAACGTTGAAGAGCGGAATCACGATTATGAAACGATTGAGGACGGGCTTAAGTTCTTGAGAGGTAAAACTATTGCTAGTCACGAGTTGAGTCATGAATTTGATTTTTCATTCGGTCTTTCTGTGTACACCACAACCCCTTGCTGATTAGTGTTGCTGTAGAAATGTGATTTGGGCTGGGGATTTCAATTATCGGATTGATGGAGGCTTGCAAAACAATGCAGTCAGACAGGCTGTTGTTGACGAGAACTATGCGGAATTGTTGGCTGCCGATCAAGTTGAGCAATTCATTTATGGCATGAGTAAACAGTCATTTGAAGTACTTATTTTTTCATTTATTGTTTTGAAAGCTTTTGGAACATATGGCGGTTCAAGCAGTGTTTCCCAAATACACTGAGGGAGCGATTAACTTTCCTCCAACCTACAAGTATGATGTAGGCACGGATCGTGAGCTTGGTTCTTCCTTGACGTGGACTCGGTCTTATCGCTTCATTTTTGTGCTGATCAAATTTTTGTACAACAGGGTATGATACAAGTGAAAAAATGCGAATACCGGCTTGGACTGGTTAGTTTGTATTCTGCAAAATGCTTATCAAATAACTATATCACCCTAATGTGGATTTTTTTATGGCTTGATTGGTAGACCGGATTTTGTATCAAGGCAGTGATGTGAGTTTGAAGGTGTCAACACCTGAAGCTTTGTGAACCCAAACTGATTCAAAAGTCTTTTGGTTTAGCTCAATTTGATAGATTACTCACGTGCTGAATTGAAAGCCTCGGATCATCGTCCAGTTTATGCAACCTTAGAAACTAAGGTCAGGATGGTTGATCGGGTCAAAAAGGAGGTCATCAAACAAGAAATCCTTGAGAGTAGTGAAGTAGGCAGTCTGCGGGACGCCCTCATGATGCCTTTACAAGCCGGTACAAGTGTTTTTCTAGCTCACATCCCGAGTTCCTTGGTGACTGATCCTGATCACGGCTTGTATCCCTTGCAGGTGACTCTTCCAGTCTCGAGGCTACAGTCTTGGATGAATGGTGGAAGACTCCGGGTAGGTACAGCTCGATGTGAACTTGCGACCTGATCAATAGAACTTATAAGTCCAATTTTTATTTCCAGAACATCCGAATGGTGCATGCGAGCTGAATCCGCCTGAACAGGCTCAAGGAATCGGAGGGTCAAGTAATCCGTTTATCCCAAACATTGGCCCACCACGCCCGGGGCGTCAATGTTCCACACCTGAAGCAAACCCGGTTGGAAGCAACCGTCTGTTCAATGGAAAGTTGGATCGTCAGATCTCTTCCTCTGTTCCGTCCTCGCCCCCTCCACAAGTTGGCAAGGGTATCCCGCCGGCGATTCCAGCCCGACCTGCGAGTCGGTCTCCATCTGAGACACGCAAACCAGTTACAGAAAAATCTGGCAGCACGCTCAAAGCACAACCACCTCCGCCCCCACCACGGCCGACTTCGAAACTGATTGTTAGCAAAGATAACACACTGGTCGAGATCATCCCCAAGGGCCCCCCACGCCCACCTCCTACAACCCCCGGATCCCTCCTGACAAGCCAAATCTCACCCACTTCGACTGAGACCTTCAACTCTCGAGCCCGCTCACTATCGGGCCGAAAGAGTGCACCCAGTGGACTTCAGCTAGGCGTCCCTCCCCCGCCATCTCACCCCGCTTTGAAGCTTCCACATCGTCAGGAATCGGTCAAATCTCCTCTTCTCTCTGCGTCAACTTCAAAGCTCACATCCAGCAAGCAGGTCACCCCTATTCGGCCTGGCTATACTACACCCCCTCCTCCTCCTCGACCTACTTCACGAGGTTTTGCTAATACTGCAGACGCCCCAATCGGGGTTGAAAATCCACAGTTTTCGCCGCGTTCAACCTTGAAGCTCCCTCAAAGGAGAGAGACTACACCTGCGGAGCTCGATAGCAACAATCCCCCCCTCCCACCTCGCCCGGTTTCCCGACTCCTGACTAGCGAAGAAACACCACTGGTTTCTGGAGTCGAACCTAAAGGTTTTGTTTCACTAAATGTGTTGGCTGGGAAAGGAATCGATTCAGCTGAGCTTGATCGCAAGAACCCCACCCCGCCACCTCGGCCGGCGTCCCGGATCGTATTTGGTAAGGAGCTCGCGACGAACGGTGGGGGTATTGGAACTGAGGGTCCTTCGCTTCCTGCTCGGCCGGTATCGACTCTTCTGACTGCTGGTAATCCGTCGATCAGGCTTGAGGCCAAAGGCTCATC